TCAAAAAAAGTTTCAAAAACTGTGGGCATTCTTTCTAAGATCAGATATTATGTACCACGCCCTGCCCTGGTGACTCTCTATTACTCTCTTATCTATCCATATCTCAACTATGGTATTTGTGCTTGGGGCTCTACTACCCAAAATCACTTACGTCCTCTAATTACTCAACACAAAGCTGCTATTAGGACAATATCCAACTCTGGCCCCAGACATCACTCGGTACCCCTACTTAAATCTCTGAATATGTTAGACATTAAGTCACTGCACATTCTCTCATGTGTATTATACATATATAAAACGCTAAACTATAATGCCAATCCTGATCTCAAAAGCTTCATAGAAGGTTGTATCAGAACCCATGAGCATCACACCAGAAATAAATACAGTTTTGATATTCCTAGAGTACGACTTAATCAAACTAGAAATGCTCTACAAATCAAGGGGCCCAGAATGTGGAATGACCTTCCCAACCATGTTAAAGACTGTACCTCTCTCAACCAGTTTAAGTTAAAAGCGAAGCTATACCTAATAAATTCCCTGTAACCTACCTTACCCTTCTATTGTCAACCAATGTCTGTTGTTTTTTCTTTAAAGAGCGCTGTTTGTCGACATAATTGTATTTGTGCTGCTTTTTCATCTATGTTTTCATTTCTTGTTTTCATTCTACTCATTATGCTCAATTAGTATTAAGCTTGTCATTTAAGTTTATCATGCCCGAAACGCTTTGCGTAATAGTGGCTTTAGGCATTGTATGTACTAGCTATACCTATAAGTTAAACAATCCTTGTAAATATTTATTGTATGTATGTACCTTACCTAAATAAAATTGTATTGTATTGTATTGAGGCCGGGATGCGCCAGGGTACAGGAGCGAGGCCGGGGTTGCGAGGGTACAGGAGCGAGGCCGGGGTGTGAGGGTACAGCAAGGTACAGGAACGAGGCCCGGGTGCGCCAAGGTACAGTAGGGTACAGGAGTGAAGTCGAGGAGCGCCAAGGTACAGCAGGGTACAGGAGCGAACCGGGGAGCGCCAGGGTACAGCAAGGTACAAGATCGAGACCGGGGAGCGCCAGGGTACAGCAAGGTACAGCAGGGTACATGAGGTGAGGCCGGTGAGCGCTAGGGTACAGCAAGGTACAGCAGGGTACAGGAGCGAGGCTGGGGATCGCCAGGCTACAGCAGGGTACATGAGCGAGGCTGGGGGTGCACCAGGGTACAGGAGCAAGGCTACGGGTGCGAGGGTACAGGAGCGAGGCCGGGGAGCGCCAAGGAACAGCAGGATACAGGAGCGTGGCCGGGGAGCGCCAGGGTACAGCAAGGTAGTGCAGGGTACAGGAGCGAGGCCGAGGTGCACCAAGATACAGCAGGGTACAGGAGTAGCGCCGGCCGGGGTGCGCCAAGGTACAGCAGGGTACAGGAGCGAGGCTGGGGAGCGCCAGGGTACAGCAAGGTACAGGAGCATGGCCGGGGAGCGCCAGGGTACAGCAAGGTACAAGAGCAAGGCCGGGGAGCGCCAGGGTACAGCAAGGTACAGGAGCGAGGCCGGGGAGCGTCAAGGTACAGGAGCATAGCCGGGGAGCGCCAGGGTACAGCAAAGTACAGGAGTGAGGCTCAGGAGCGCCAAGGTACAGCAAGGTACAGGAGTGAGGCCGAGGTGCGCCAAGGTACTGCAAGGTACAGGGGCATGGCCGGGGAGCGCCAGGGTACAGCAAGGTACAGGAGGAAGGCCGGGGAGCGCCAAGGTACAGCAAGGTACAGGAGCGAGGCCGTGGTACACCAAAACACAACAGGGTAAAGGAGCGAGGCCGAGGAGCGCAAAGGTACATGCAGCAAGGTACAGCAGGGTAAAGGAGCTAGGCCGGGGAGCGCCAGGGTACAGGAGCTAGGCCGGGGAGCGCCAGGGTACAGGAGCTAGGCCGGGGAGCGCCAGGGTACAGCAGGGTACAGGAGCGAGGCCGGAGAGCACCAGAGTACAGGAGAAAGGCCGAGGAGCGCCAGGGTACAGCAGGGTACACTAGCAAGGCCGGGGTGCGCCAGGGTACAGCAAGATACAGGAGCGAGGCCGGGGAACAGCAAGGTATAGCAGGTTACAGGAGCGAGGCCGGGGAGTACCAGGGTACAGGAGCGAGGCCGGTTAGCGCCAGGGTACAGGAGCTAGGCCGGTTAGCACCAGGGTACAGCAAGGTACATGAGCGAGGCCGGGGTGCGCCAAGGTTCAGGAGCGAGGCAGGGGGTACGAGGGTACAGGAGCGAGGCAGGGGTGCGAGGGTACAGCAAGGTACAGGAGCATGGCCGGGGAGCGCCAAGGTACAGCAGGGTACAGGAGCGAGGCCGTGGAACGCCAGGGTACAGTAAAGTACAGGATCGAGGCCGGGGAGCGCCAAGGTACAGCAGGGTACCGGAACGAGGCCGGGGAGAGCCAGGGTACAGCAAGGTACAGCAGGGTACAGGAGCAAGGCCGGTGAGCGCCAAGGTACAGGAGCAAGGCTGGGGAGCGCCAAGGTACAGGAGCGAGGCCGGGGAGAGCCAGGGTACAGCAAGGTACAGCAGGGTACAGGAGCGAGGCCGGGGAGCGTCAAGGTACAGGAGCGAGGCCGGGGTGCGTCAAGGTACAGGAGCGAGGCCGGGGAGCGCCAGGGTACAGCAAAGTACAGGAGCGAGGCCGGTTAGCGCCAGGGTACAGGAGCGAGGCCGGTGAGCGCCAGGGTACAGGAGCGAGGCCGGTTAGCGCCAGGGTACAGGAGCGAGGCCGGTGTGCGCCAGGGTACAGCAAGGTACAGTAGGGTACAGGAGCGAGGCCGGGGAGCGCCAGGGTACAGTAGCAAGGCTTGGGAGCGCCAAGGTACAGCAGGGTACAGGAGCGACGCCGGGGGTGCGCCAAGGTACAGCAGGGTACAGGAGCGAGGCTGGGGGTGCCCCAAGGTACAGGAGGGTACAGGAACGAGGCCGGGGAGCGCCAAGGTACAGCAGGGTACAGGAGCAAGGCCGGGGAGCGCCAAGGTACAGCAGGGTACAGGAGCGAAGCCGGGGTGCGCCAAGGTACAGGACGGTACAGCAGGCTACAGGAGCGAGGCCAGAGTACAGGAGCAACACCAGGGGAGCGAGGCTACAACAAGGTACAGTAGCGAGGCCAGGCTACAGGAGCAACACCAGGGGAGTGAGGCAGGCTACAGGAGCGAGGCCAGGGAGCTACAGGAGCAACACCAGGGAGCGAGGCAGGGTACAGGAGCTACAGCAGGGTACAGGAGCGAGGCCAGGGAGCTACAGCAGGGTACAGAGCTACAGCAGGGTACAGGAGCAACACCAGGGGAGCGAGGCTACAGGAGCGAGGCCAGGCTACAGCAGGGTACAGGAGCGAGGCCAGGCTACAGCAGGGTACAGGAGCGAGGCCAGGCTACAGCAGGGTACAGGAGCGAGGCCAGGCTACAGCAGGGTACAGGAGCGAGGCCAGGCTACAGCAGGGTACAGGAGCGAGGCCAGGCTACAGCAGGGTACAGGAGCGAGGCCAGGCTACAGCAGGGTACAGGAGCAAGGCCAGGCTACAGCAGGGTACAGGAGCGAGGCCAGGCTACAGCAGGGTACAGGAGCGAGGCCAGGCTACAGCAGGGTACAGGAGCGAGGCCAGGCTACAGCAGGGTACAGGAGCGAGGCCAGGGAGCTACAGGAGCAACACCAGGGGAGCGAGGCTACAGCAGGCTACAGGAGCGAGGCCAGGCTACAGGAGCAACACCAGGGGAGCGAGGCTACAGCAGGGTACAGGAGCGAGGCCAGGCTACAGGAGCAACACCAGGGGAGCGAGGCTACAGCAGGGTACAGGAGCGAGGCAGGGTACAAGAGCTACAGCAGGGTACAGGAGCGAGGCCAGGGGAGCGAGGCAGGGTACAGGAGCAACACCAGGGGAGCGAGGCTACAGCAGGCTACAGGAGCGAGGCCAGGCTACAGGAGCGAGGCCAGGGTACAGGAGCGAGCCAGGCTACAGGAGCGAGGCCAGGGTACAGGAGCGAGGCCAGGGTACAGGAGCGAGGCCAGGCTACAGGAGCGAGCCAGGCTACAGGAGCGAGCCAGGCTACAGGAGCGAGCCAGGCTACAGGAGCGAGGCCAGGGTACAGGAGCGACAGGAGCGAGCCAGGCTACAGGAGCGAGCCAGGCTACAGGAGCGAGGCCAGGGTACAGGAGCGAGGCAGGCTACAGGAGCGAGCCAGGCTACAGGAGCGAGCCAGGCTACAGGAGCAACACCAGGGGAGCCAGGCTACAGGAGCGAGCCAGGCTACAGGAGCAACACCAGGGGAGCGAGGCTACAGCAGGCTACAGGAGCGAGCCAGGCTACAGGAGCGAGCCAGGCTACAGGAGCGAGGCCAGGGTACAGGAGCGAGGCCAGGCTACAGGAGCGAGGCCAGGCTACAGGAGCGAGGCCAGGCTACAGGAGCGAGCCAGGCTACAGGAGCAACACCAGGGGAGCCAGGCTACAGGAGCGAGCCAGGCTACAGGAGCGAGCCAGGCTACAGGAGCGAGCCAGGCTACAGGAGCGAGGCCAGGCTACAGGAGCGAGGCCAGGCTACAGGAGCGAGCCAGGCTACAGGAGCAACACCAGGGGAGCCAGGCTACAGGAGCGAGCCAGGCTACAGGAGCGAGCCAGGCTACAGGAGCGAGCCAGGCTACAGGAGCGAGGCCAGGCTACAGGAGCGAGGCCACGCTACAGGAGCGAGCCAGGCTACAGGAGCGAGCCAGGCTACAGGAGCGAGGCCAGGCTACAGGAGCGAGGCCAGGCTACAGGAGCGAGGCCAGGCTACAGGAGCGAGGCCAGGCTACAGGAGCGAGGCCAGGCTACAGGAGCGAGCCAGGCTACAGGAGCGAGCCAGGCTACAGGAGCGAGCCAGGCTACAGGAGCGAGGCCAGGCTACAGGAGCGAGCCAGGCTACAGGAGCGAGGCCAGGCCACACCGGCCGGCCAGGTGAGTCATGGGTAATATTTCCCAAGATGCCCGGCCTGGCCGCCAATATTCCAATGTGGCCAGAGTGGAGGCGTGAGGAGAGGCCGGGAGGGCGGCCTAGGCCGGCCCCAGGCCACCCTAGGCCGCCCTAGGCCGCCCTAGGCCGCCCTGGCCAACACACTCCTCACTATCACACCAAAACTGGCCCAAAATGGCGGAGGTGTAGTGGTGTAGTGAGTTATGTTAGCGTGACCCCGCTTCTCTTGGCCGCTCCTCCTGCTGTAGGCTACAGTGCTGTAGGCTACAGGCGCGGGATACAGTGTGTGGCGGGTGTGTAGTGTTAGCAGTGTTGTAGGGGGGTGGCCAGGTGTGTGGCAGAGCGGGGCCAGTGTTGCTGCTTGGACGTCAGGTGTGGATGTGGCCGCATAGGCCTACAGCAGCCTATCGGCATGTGTCATGTGTTGGATACATGGTTACAGTAGCCTCACGGTACATGTGTCATGTGTTGGATACATGGTTACAGTAGCCTCACGGTACATGTGTCATGTGTTGGATACATGGTTACAGTAGCCTCACGGTACATGTGTCATGTGTTGGATACATGGCTACAGTAGCCTCACGGTACATGTGTCATGTGTTGGATACATGGTTACAGTAGCCTCACGGTACATGTGTCATGTGTTGGATACATGGTTACAGTAGCCTCCTAGCACATGTGTCAGTGTTGGATACATGGTTACAGTAGCCTCACGGTACATGTGTCATGTGTTGGATACATGGTTACAGTAGCCTCACGGTACATGTGTCATGTGTTGGATACATGGTTACAGTAGCCTCACGGTACATGTGTCATGTGTTGGATACATGGCTACAGTAGCCTCCTAGCACATGTGTCAGTGTTGGATACATGGTTACAGTAGCCTCCCAGTACAGGTGTCAGTGTTGGATACATGGCTACAGTAGCCTCCTAGCACATGTGTCAGTGTTGGATACATGGCTACAGTAGCCTCCCAGTACATGTGTCAGTGTTGGATACATGGCTACAGTAGCCTCCCAGTACATGTGTCATGTGTTGGATACATGGCTACAGTAGCCTCCCAGTACATGTGTCAGTGTTGGATACATGGCTACAGTAGCCTCCCAGTACATGTGTCATGTGTTGGATACATGGCTACAGTAGCCTCCTAGCACATGTGTCATGTGTTGGATATATGGCTACAGTAGCCTCCCAGCACATGTCATGTGTTGGATACATGGCTACAGTAGCCTCCCAGTACATGAGTGTTGACTACATAGGCCTACAGCAAGCTGACAGTGCATATGTTGTGCGAATGTTGACTGCATAGGCCTACATCAACCTCACAGTTCAAGTGTTGTGTGTGTGTGTGTTGGCCACATAGGCCTACATGAGCCTCGGTGCATGTGACAGGCCTACATGAGCCCCGGTGCATGTGACAGGCCTACATGAGCCCCGGTGCATGTGACAGGCCTACATGAGCGTCGGTGCATGTGCAGCCCGCATGTGACAGGCCTACATGAGCCTCGGTGCATGTGACAGGCCTACCTGCAGATCACTTGCATCTCATATAACCTAACCCATGACGTGTGTGACCCATTAACGTATACAGCTAACCTAACTCAAGTTTAATGCTCTTAACTAGTTTATTGTAGTCTAATTACTTTATTGTAGTCTAATAACTATTGTAGTCCAAATACAGTACTTTATTGTAGTCTAATAACTATTGTGGTCTAAATACAGTACTTTATTGTAGTCTAATTACTTTATTATTTACAAATCTTAGAAATCTTTGAACATGTTAAATATCAAGTCTCTGCACCTACTCTCAGGTGTTCTCTATATCTATAAAAACTCTGAATTACAATGTCAGGTCTGACTTTAAGCACTTCCTAGAAGTCTGTAATAGGACTCGTGTTCACCACACAAGAAACCTTAATTTACCTGAATTTACCAAATATCTCTGATGTTCCTTGAGTAATTACCTAAGTGTAGTTACAGGATGAGAGCTACGCTCGTGGTGTCCCGTCTTCCCAGCACTCTTTGTCGTATAACGCTTTGAAACTACTGACGGTCTTGGCCTCCACCACCTTCTCCCCTAACTTGTTCCAACCGTCTACCACTCTATTTGCGAAAATGAATTTTCTTATATTTCTTCGGCATCTGTGTTTAGCTAGTTTAAATCTATGACCTCTTGTTCTTAAAGTTCCAGGTCTCAGGAAATCTTCCCTATCGATTTTATCAATTCCTGTTACTATTTTGTATGTAGTGATCATATCACCTCTTTTTCTTCTGTCTTCAAGTTTTGGCATATTTAATGCCTCTTAACCTCTCCTCGTAGCTCTTGCCCTTCAGTTCTGGGAGCCACTTAGTAGCGTGTCTTTGCACCTTTTCCAGTTTGTTAATGTGCTTCTTAAGATATGGGCACCACACAACCGCTGCATATTCTAGCTTTGGCCTAACAAAAGTCGTGAACAATTTCTTTAGTATATCGCCGATATACTAAAGAAAATGTTCACGAATCGAGTGAACAATTGTTTAGGTCGAGTGAAACTCGACCTAAGCAGAAATGCTATGCAGATCAAGGGTCCAAAATTGTGGAATGACCTTCCAAATGTTATTAAAAGCAGTATGTCTTCCAACTAGTGTTAAAAAAGAGAGACTGAGAAATATTTACTTAATATCATGTAATTAATATCCTTTAATCTATACCAATCCAATCCAATCCAAGAGCCAATCACACTCTCATCATTTATAGTAATATCTGTATGTTAGTTTTGTGTTATTCTGATCCTAAATTTGTATCTACAGTACTAAAAATTATGTCCTTTCTTCATTTAATGTCATCTAATTTCTTGCATTTCTTTGATCATGTTTTTATTCATATGCTTTATAATCCTTGTTTATTTTTTAAGTATTGACCCCATTAAACTTAAATTATACTGTATTACTCTGTTCTGTTATATTCAAAGAACATAACAGAACATAGAGTAATGTTCCGATAAAATATTATGAGACAGAGTCCAGCTGCTTTTCAAAATTACACTTTGTATTTCCATTATCATTAATGTAAATAAAGTCCAGTACACTGCAGTACTATACTATTGCTACAACTACTGACTCCATAATGTAATAGTCTATGCCTGTCATCCCTAATTACCTAAGTGTAGTTACAGGATGAGAGCTTTGCTCGTGGTGTCCCGTCTTCCCAGCACTCATTGTCGTATAACGCTTTGAAACTACTGACGGTTTTGGCCTCCACCGCCTTCTCACTTAACTTCTTCCAAACCGTTTGCCACACTGTTTGCAAAAGAATACTTTGTAATATTTTTTTGGTACCTTTGTTTCCATAGCTTGAATCTGTATCCTCTTGTTCTTGAAGTTGCTGGTTTCAGGAATGCCTCTTTGTCAATTTGGTCGATTCCTGTTATTATTTTGTAAGTGGTGATCATATCACCTCTTTTTCTTCTACCTTCTAGTTTTGGCATATTTAATGCCTCTAGTCTTTCCTCATAATTCTTGTTTTTCAGTTCCAAAAGCTATTTTATAGCATGCCTTTGCACCTTTTCCAGTTTATTGAAGTGGTTTTTGAGATCCTCACTCCTCAAGTTTAAGTGTCACCTTTTTTATATTCATTTGTTATTTTCCATGAATGATTTAACTTTGTTAGCTTACTTCTCCTTTAATATTAAGTGTTTTACCTCCTCACACCTATAGTTAAATTTTTTCTGTATTTTTAAGTTTTGCCCGAATTGCTTTGAGTAATAATAGCTTCATTAGTTTGTGTAACTCCCGTCCTTACAATTGTACATTACTCTTATATCCTTTGTACACACATTCTATAGAATAAGCATTATTATTATTGTACAGTAGTCTAGTTTATTGTAGTCGAATTACTTTATTGTACAGTAGTCTAGTTTATTGTAGTTGAATTACTTTATTGTACAGTAGTCTAGTTTATTGTAGTCGAATTACTTTATTGTACAGTAGTCTAGTTTATTGTAGTTGAATTACTTTATTGTACAGTAGTCTAGTTTATTGTAGTTGAATTACTTTATTGTAGTCTAGTTTATTGTAGTTGAATTACTTTATTGTAGTCTAGTTTATTGTAGTCGAATTACTTTATTGTACAGTAGTCTAGTTTATTGTAGTTGAATTACTTTATTGTACAGTAGTCTAGTTTATTGTAGTTGAATTACTTTATTGTAGTCTAGTTTATGGTAGTCTAATTTATTTATTTATTTATTTATTTATTTATTTATTTACAAGGTACATTGGGGGTTAAGAGAGTACATAGTAATAATGATGATTTGACATTCTTGTAAAGCCACGAGCACACATAGCTTTTTGGGCAAATCCTTAATTTAACAGATAATTTTAAGTAGATAATTTCCAGTAAAATTGACAAGAAATGTTTACAGGTACGTTGTAAGAAATTTTGATACAATAAACAAAGATTAGATTAATACACAATAATGACAATACACTATAATGACAAGGATTACTAGGTACATTAGGGTAAAATTTCAGGGTTATCAATTGGTTCATTGTAGCACAATTTGAGGATCATTTCAAGGAATAATGCAGTAGAATATGTACTCAATATAACAACCATGATATTTTTTTTTTTTTTTTTTTTTTTTTTTTTAGATATATACAAGAGTTGTTACATTCTTGTAGAGCCACTAGTACGCGTAGCGTTTCGGGCAGGTCCCTGGAATACGATCCCCGCCGCGAAGAATCGTTGTTACAACCAAGACTGTTGTTACAACCATTTTACTGTTGCGTTAAACAGAGGCTACAGTTAAGGATTTGCGCCCAGTAAATCCTCCCCGGCCAGGATACGAACCCATGACATAGCGCTCGCGGAACGCCAGGCGAGTGTCTTACCACTACACCACGGAGACTGGTCAGATGATATCAAAGATTACAAGGGTAAAGTTATATGGCTTAGGTACATATATTGGGGGATTGGGTAGCACTAGATACAGTGCGATTTAAAGCATTAGGTAGGAAACTATGAAGATGAAATTAGGTACTTTTTGGTTTTATTTTTGAATAAGGCAAAAGTTGGACAGCTTTTCAATTCGTTAGGGAGTGAGTTCCATAGACTAGGTCCCTTTATTTACATTGTTTACGCAAATTCAATTTGACTCTTGGGGATATCAAAGAGAGATTTATGTCTGGTGTGGTGAGTATGGGTTCTATTACATCTGTCCAGGAAGAGTTTTAGAACAGGGTTTGCACCTAAGAAAAGGGTTTTGTAATAATGTAATTGGCACAAGAGAATGTGTAGAGTGAATTTATGTTTAGC